TATATTAAATTAATTTAAACCTGATTTAATTTATTTAGTTAAATTTAAATAGGCCTATTTATTAGATTTTAGCAGAACACCCCCTTCTCATGAGTCAATTTTCTTCAGCAACTTATTCGTATCAAATCTTTAACTAATTTCTCCCTATTATTTATACTAATTAAGGTTAAAACTGAATTTTTATGTTAAATTTATCAAGCGAGATCATTCAAAATATCTTAAGCATTGATAGTTGGGAATCTCCACAATAAGCTGATTAGGCCTCATGATGTCATGGATCTCACTTAATCTTCTTCACGGAAATTCTGTCTCATCTGGGCTGAACCGCGATTTCCACCCCTCATCAGTACCTTCATCGGGATTCGGTACCGGATCGTGTGCATCTTGGTTAGGTCCCCACTCCACTACTCAGCTATGGGAGCAAGTGGGCGTCAGGACAGATATGTTATTAAAGACAAGTCAATACCTTGCAAAATCAAACTTCTAGTGGGATTGTCGATTAAGCAAATATCTATTTGTCATTGCCATTGAAAATGTTATTTGTTTTCGATGCAAGTAATTTTTGATAATATCGGTAGCTTTTGACTAAGAACCTAGTTAGTCTAGTTGACGTGAAGTGATTTCAGGTGTGATTGTCGAGTTTCGTCATAACAAGAACTTACTCATTTTCTTGTGAGTAATTTCAACTTCAAGTCCTTGAACTAATCCAGCTAATTTATTACTATACGTGAAAAAAAGTTGGGTTTCGAAGAATCTCTTGTTTCATAATTGTTGAGCTTACTTCCATTTCGAGTGAAAGGAGTTTTCTTGACTCGTTAGCTTGAATTTTGTTGTGACGATGTTACCTCGCTCTGATGATGTTCGTCATATGACGGACGAAAGCCTAGCACCTTTTAACCGGAATCGAAGGAGGTTGCCTCGGAAACAGCGTCAGCACGAAAGCTCCAGTAAAGCTGGTGAAGAGGAATCCGCCGTCGTCCTCTGGTGGAACTGACCTTCGAATCTCTTCACCCGACACTTTCACTCGAAATGGAAGTAAGCTCAACAATTATAAAACAAGAGATTCCTCAAAACCCAACTTTTCTTGGAGTAGCATTCCTGCCTTATTATCGGCAAGTCTTGTTTATGACGCGTTCACACTTAAACTCTTCGTGAAATCAGCATTCGATTTTGACGTCTTCACACAAATGAGAAAATGATAAAAGAAATTCAATTAAAAAAGAGCCAATATTTCGACAGTTTACACACGACGAAATATTCGAGAGCAAAGGAGAGCTTTTGCTTTCGTCAATTGGTAGGCAATTGGTGATTGCTGGCTGGGACGAAGTATATTACGACAAAACATACAAAAGGTCAGCACGGATAAGTCATAACCATGGAACAATGGCCCGATATATTCTTCTAACAATCCATCAGACATAAAACCACTTTTGGATGAGGCTAATTAACGAATCCAATACACTCGCTTTTTCAAACGAACTAATATTTCATATGTGTATTTCATTCACCATATTTCGTGAACTTTTTTCCGCAATGACATCTCAAAATTTATTCTCAACCATACAGAAATGGGTTGCCGTTTCAATCTCGCCTTTGAGGTCGACCCAAATAATTGTGGGAAAAATACAGCTACTAGTTCCTACATCACCCTAAATGAAATAGGATGAAAACATGTCATATAAATGATCGACTGATCGTATCGAGCGCCTACTTATAAACGAAAAATAAGTAACATATTCGATTGCTGTATCAAATACAACTTTGCTTCATCGACACTCCCACCACAGAATGTGATATGGCAAAATGCCCGGCTTTTCTTGAAATTCACATCTGTCCTCTAACCCAAGGCACTCGTGACAATGTGGCACAGTTGTTAGCGTGTCGAGATCATACGCTGCAGTTGCATGGTTCATGTCCCACTTGGGAAGGTTGATAAAACCTCTGCGAGGTGGGAACTGCAGCCCACTTCTGTCTGGGTGCGAATACCTTTTACAAACTTTTACAAACATTGTGGGATAACGCAATTACTAACCGCCTTATCATCTCTTAACGAAATCGTATGAACAGGTCTCGTGTACAAGAAGTGAAAACTTGCTTTAGCACGATTGGGATTCAAATGGTGAGATAAGATGAACCCTAAAACCAGATATCGCAGCCCATTGACCCTCGACGGAGAAACAAGCTGCACCCAAAAATATAGCTCATTGTGTCACTTTGTCCGTCAGAAGATAGGATAACTGACGGATTGAACTCGGGCAGTGGGAAAGAAGACTATGAAACTTCATGAATTCGGCTAAGAGGCTCGTTGCCCCGGGCATGAGAGAAATGTCTACTTTTCTGGCCCATGGGAATAGGGCGTCACTCGGAGGCTTGGATGTGAAAATTGGTGCGCCCGCAGGGGCTGGGGCCTGCATTGGCGTCTGCTCAAGTGGGGCCAAACTGGGCAATAAAAGTGGAGGGGAACGCAGGAGAATGGAGAAGAATGGACCCAACGGAGGGAGAATGGCGCCAGTTCTGATGGAGCCAAATCGCACTCAGACCGCACAAAGTGTCCGTGAGGAAGTTTACTTATTGGGAATAGACGGTGGAGAACGCAAGAGACGCAAGTATAGGCCGTCGCAAGTGAGTGTATAGACGAACGAAGGTCAGAACCAATGAAAGAGTGGGATAGAGAGAGAGAGAGAGATAAAGGAGGAGGACAAGTGAGCTGTGAGAATGAATACATTTATCGCTGCGTTAAAGTAGGAAA